GCCTAAGGGAAATAATATAGCCAATTGTAACTAGTACATTAGTTTTTATACTGAATAAGTGTCATATCTCACTATTGAGAGATATAAAGCACAATTAGTTATTAAGTGCTCCATAGAGATCTCTGGAATCAACTACTATGAGAATTTTGCTACAGTCACTAAGATGAATGTAATATACCTTTTATTTTCCTTAGCAGTATCCTTGGACTGGCCTTTGAATTAAATAGATGTGAAGAAAAGCGAGCTTGCCATTGGGAATTTATAAAGTATATTGTGAGAACAAGGTATGCAAATTTGGGAAGTCTTTATATGGTCGAAATCAGTTACCAAGGGGTTGATATGATCGGTTTAGTAAGTCAAATTAGGAGCTGGAATATACTCAAAGCTAATTAGACTCTAGTTATTCTTCAAGGACTCAAGAGATGGAAGTATCATCATTCGTGTGCAAACTTGGGTTTCTAAAGAAACTCTTGATTAAGGAGTCTGAGATGAAGGACATCGGCCAACTAATTCATTTCTTCAGCTTGGAAAGGGTACAATAGAAAATGAGTATATTTGTTTTTTTTTCTAATGAAGTATACCTTAGGCTGTATACTTGTTTGACAGTCCCATTACTTCTAATCACAATCTAGGAGACATTTTGAGAGGAAATATCGTGCATCCTTGAAATTTAATTGGGATATTTATCTACTTGTTTCACAAATTACCTTATTTAGCTTTCGAAATTAGGATGGTGAGCAAGTTTATGCCCACTCCCTATGTAAAGAATAGCTTGAGATTGCGTATAAATTTTGAGGTATTTAAAGGGTAATCATACAAAGATCTTTTGTTGAGAAAAAAGGAGATCACGTGCATGGGGTCTACATTAGGGTTTTGGTGCATTGCACAAAGTAATTTGGTTACATAGAGAAGCAAAAAACAATCACTTGTTGCGAGAGTTCTGCTGGAGCAAAAGTTAGGACCCATACTCGCTGGATTTGTGAGATTGTGTGGTTGGATAATTTTTTAAAGAACTGTAGGTTGCTAGTTGCTTTTGCAAGTCATATTAAGCTATAATATAATGTTCCCATTAGTATCACTCGTATCTCAGTTAGGCAAGGCCAAACAGGGCACATTGAGATCGATTGAAAGTATTTACGTACCTTTTGTGGTCATTGTCCACTGATCGACAGCTAGCAGACATTTGCCATAGGACTGCATTGGGCTAGAATTTTAGACTTCAATTAGCAAGCTGGGTATCTTTGGACTAGCTTGAGGGAAAGTGGAAAATCTTATGTTGTTGTTGTTGGAGGACAAAGGGATTTACCAACTTGGATTGACTAAGGCTTTTAAGGAGGACAACACTAATATGAAAAAGGAAATAAACAAAAGGAAACTTGTATTTCTCAACTTCAAAACTTGCACACTTTTTGACTTGTTACAAAATGGAAGTTCATATCCCTTTATATAGTATTTACATAAAACTTCTAGTCCACACAATTTTCTAGAAACTCCTAGACAATATATTTACATGAGACTTTTAGACCACACATTTGGACAAGATATTTTCCTAAAATTCTCTAGATAGACTTTATAAGACCACATAATCTTATTGACACATTTATCACTGCATATTTTATTTAGATATTTATATAGATGCTTCTAGTAAATATTTATATAGATTTTTCTAGATAATGCTTCTAGAAATGCTAGGCATGTTAGGCTTTTTAATTTATTTGGGTCTATGGGCAAAATCCTTAAGCCCATATTATTTAATCCAAAATCAAGTTTACTACTCAACAGTTGTAAAACTCAATGTTTATGAGGTTGCTAAGCCTCTAAATAGGCATTTTGTACCTTGAAAAATATGTAGCTTGAATGACAATTAGCTTTAGTCCATCATTTCATTTTCCTGCAAAATTCACTAGAGATAGTCTGAGGAGAAATGCGTGAATTTCTGTTTCCGTTGTTAGAGGACTGAACAAACATGAAGTTTTGGCTTTGTATCTATCTGTGATACGTATTGGGCCATTCCATGCACCATTAAAGTTTTTTTGTTGAACTGGAGATTGTACGGACCAAAAGCTTGGAGGATATATGAAAATCCTACTCCTGTATGCATACTTTAGAGTTGAAATTCTGAAGAAAAAAGAGACTGAAATTCATATGGTTGAAAATAATTCTAGAAATCCTCTTTATAGTACCGTTATAGTCATTTTATTTTTCAGAATTATTTACCCAAAACAGAAATATCAGCACAAATCTAAATAAGAACAAAAGCTACAGATTCCTATATCTATTTTATGTATTCAAAAGATAGAACTCAGGCTAAAACGATATTTGACTTCTTGAGTGCAAAGAATTTAAGGAGGAACAAGTGAATGCATATTATTCTATGGAGGCACAAAGAGAGTTCATATTCGAAGGGAACAATACTGGAAGCTGCTCTCTCCTTATGATAAGGTTGAAAAATTCTCAGCAGTTGCCATATTATATCAAGGTTGAACATAATTATTCATTGGATCGTAACTCATTTAATACCTCGTTACTTATCTTCATTAATGCGAGTTATTTAAGATCTCATCGCTCTTATTCTTCATAATTACATGTTTGAAAATACGGGATGCTGTGTTATAGTGGTACATTTAGTCATCTCTGTACATTGTATGTCAATTATGTTCATAATACTCTCTGGAAAAAGAGGCGTCGACTATGATTATATATTTGACCAATGCTCAACATGTATGTGATCCAACTGAATACATTGGAAGTGCTTGAGCTTTCTTTCCCAATATGACTTGCACTTTGTGATCCACATTTCTTATTAAATGTAATGATGGGGTATTTTGACATGTGTTGTGTAGGGGATAGATATGTAGAAATATATATATATGGACCCGACCCATCGGCCAACACATTTTTAGTGCATATTTGGTAGGATAGATAAGACTATGCTCGACAGTACGAAATACCAAAAAAAAAAAAAGTTCAAATTATAAATAACATGCATAGTTTAGGTCAATGCACTGGGGTACGCTGACATTTTTTATTGGTAAACTTTATTTTATTCTATGATACTCGAGTAAATTCAAAGGATATTATGATCCTGAGGCCATTATTTTGACATTGTGTAGTGCCTTTTCAGGGACCAGCGTTAGATAATTCTTGAAATACACTAAATAATCAATTTATACTGAATATTTTAGTAGAATTCCTTGGTTTTGTAGTTGACTTGTTACTCTATTATTTTATTGAAAGCAAGTGTTCGTACTATCTTGAATTTAAAGGATATTTTTTTTTTATTGAGCTCATTTTGCAAGAAGATAGAAAGATTTATTTACTTTTTAAATTATGGATTACTAAAGGCAAATCATCAATCCATATCCTTGTGATAAGATATTGTACTAAATTATTTATTTTCATCCTGAATTTATTAATACACAGTCTAACTTTTCAAGTTTTATTTAACAAAATAGGTAAATTAAATATTAAAATATACAATTGGACTAATTAACTATATGGAAATTAAATATTGAGTTTGAAAATGAAATATATAAATTTGAAGTAATTAAACCCACGTGTGTACTCACTAACATTGAAAGAAAGATCCTCGAGCCAGCAGCCTTAGACTTTCCGGAAAGTTATCTTTTGTTGATTTTGCTGCCTTCTTATCTATGATTAAAGAAAAAGCTTAAAAGTATAACAATTGGTGGATCAAACTTTTGGACAAAAATTAATATTATTGTTTTCTATTTTCTTATTATTTCTACATATATCATCCAAGGCATTATTGCTTGTTCGTCCTAATCTAAAATGTATTGCATGCTTGGTCGAGAGGATTGATTAGAAGCACACTAGACAAATTTTGATTTAATAATATATTGTTTATGGATTTATTCGACTCTTTACTTCGAGCTTGACAAAAATTAAGAACATTTTCAAGAGACTCTTTGAAGGTGAAGTACTTTCTATTTTAAATAGTCGACTTTTAAAATTATGTTTCAAGAAACTTTTCAAATTAACATTCGAAAACAGATAATGGTTTTGGAGATCTAAATTCACTTTTTATATGAAATGGATGCAAAATAATCTAATTTTAAATGCTCCAAGTATTGATGCAATTAAATAATATATACAAAGAAAATGGAGGGAATTAATATAATAATTTGAATGGAAGTTGGTGAAAAAAAAGATATGGAAAAATAATAAACACATATTGGGAGCTGTAAAGTTAAATATTAAAAATAAGAAGGTTGTTAGAATATTTTAAATTTTTTACTCTTTAATTATAGATGTTCTCTAAATTGCTAAGTATTCTCTTTAAAAATAGAATAATGCTATTTAACATCACTAAGATTATAACCACAAAATAAATTACGCTAATATGATATTAAACGATAGGCGAAATTAAATGAGTTATTTAATTTCACATTTCATTTAACCTATCATCTAGTATTATTTAGGTTAAGATTACAATCCCAGTAGAACTAGTAGCATTTCCTTTAAAAATAGTTTCTCGGAAATGCTCTAAACAAACTATTTGCGAATCGTTTGACAAACTTTTGAAAAGTCAAAAATTGTTTCTGAGATGAAAAAGTGCTTTTGAACATGTTTAAATAATTTTAGAAAGTGGTTTTTTTTTTAATAGAAGAATTTAAAAAAAAAATTAGTTTAAAGTAAATTCTTCAAAAAGCTCTTTTTACAAGAAATATTGACAAACGAGGTCTTATCTTATTTGGTAAGTAAAAGAAAATATCACATAAATATGGGCAGTAAAAATGAATTTACTTTAGCATGACAACAATATGTTTGATGATCTTTTCTTTGGAGTAGGACTTTTCGTCCCCTCTGAAGGACTTCATGTTGGTAGGGATTTGGGCAAAGTGATTTTTTATTAAAAAACGTGCGTGTACATTTACTTAAATAATAATTTATATACTTAATTATTATACTCTAAGCCTCTATCATGTAAGAAAATGCCAAAATTAAATAAATATTCTTAATAAATATAGAGAAAAAAAGGCCAAAAACAAATTCTAACCTGTTAATTCTTCTACATACAAGACGACAATTATAGTTACACAAATTTGCCAGATAATTTGATATCCCCTTTCTTTAATATTCCAACATAACAAGAAAAGTCAATAGAAACAGATAAGGCAGCACAAGAAGAAAATAAATATTTTCTAGCAGACTCGATAGAAAAATTATGATCACATCGGCTAAAGAAAAGACCTCGTGATAGTCCATACGGATTTTTACCACTAAGAGGTCGATCAATGCACGGTGTTCTTCGATTCATCCTTATTAAGACGATCATGCTTAGAAAATCTGTTTTGAAACTCAGCTATTAAAGCAAGATTTTCTTGATGCAGAAGAGTAGCTTTTTTCCTCAACTTTTCATTTTCTTCTATTATACTTATATTCTCCATGTACAGCTTCAAGTTCTTAAGCTTCATATCCTTGTCCATCGTCTCTTTGCGTTGCTTCCTTCTGCAACACATAACATATTCAAGCATTATTATAACAGATCGAAAGAGCAAGAAAAAAGTATTTCGAATGAAGAAGGAATGTCTGTTTTATGCACGAACGCAATTAGTTCACCTTGTAAGGTTGTGTATGCGACAGAACAGAAAGAAGTATAAATTCCGAATGAAAAAGAAATATTGTTTTTTAATAAATAAGCACGATATGCAAAAGAACAAGAAATAGGTATACCGAATGAAAAAAAAAAAAAAAAAAAAATGAATGTTTGTTCTACACACAAGTGTTGTTAGTTTACCTTGGGAGGTTGTGTATGCGAACTCTAGACCGCTTCGGTCTTTTCTGCGAAGAAACTTGAAGATTATGTGATGGTATCCAATCTGTGGGACAAATACACATTCTTGGAATTCTGGGTACAATTTTACAATGAAACTAGAAAATTTGTGTTTTTGCTCTATGTGATATGTTTGAATGGGAAATGAGATGAGTTTTTTGTGGGGTGCTGAGATCCTATAAATAGGTGGCTTTGTTGGTTTTAAATGTGTCATGTGTGACCATGTGGTGGCCTGGCGTAGGTGGGTTGGGGTGGGAGATTAATTTCAAGTTTGATAATGATGACACTAGAAAGTAATGATTACTAAGAGCAGAAACCCAATGGCATAAATAAAAAGCCTAAGAACAAGGAAAGGTTCTTCTCATGCATCTTTCTTGCCTAAACACATAATTTGGCACTTCACAACCTTGGTAAAATAAGTGCTTATTTTAACTTATGAGTCTACATGTTAGAAAAGAAAAGATGTGTTGATTTATTTGGTGTTCATTAACCATTTCTCATAGAAAGTGCATATACACTTAACAAAACGACTTCTTTGAAGAGTAAAGAAGGTCTAACACAAATACATGAAAAATAATTCATTTAGTCTTCCCTTCTATTTGAAATAAGACTGAATTTGTTATTATTGTCGCAGTCTTAAAGTAAACTCTAAGTGAATTAATTAATCAATTTCTGCCATTGAAAGGAAGGGAATGCAAAAGTAGTGTTGGACTGAGTGCTTTTGTTCTTTTTTGCTGTTTATTGCAATTGAATGGCCCTTTTGTATTCATCCATATTAATCAACTTTAGGAAAAATAAGTTGAATAAGTAGTGTATTCATAAGTTTTTGTGTTGGTTAGTGAAGTGATGTGGGGCTATATCTATGATACAAATTTTGGGACTCTGCATTGAATGTCTCAGTACAATCCAGTTGTATGATAGATAACAAGCACTTTACTATGGCCTAATGATTGTAGGGGCTTGTTATATGAACTTCTTGGAGAGTGATTCCATAAAATTTTACCCTTCGTAAAAAAAGTACAAGATTATCGTGTACATATTTTGATTTTTTACTGGGTTTTTTGGTGAAAGAAGTTTGTTGTTGAATTGTTGACAGATCAAGAGAAAAGGAAATGCAGTTGGTAAAAGTTGACAAGAGCTTGGAACGAAGAATCCCTATTCACTAGGTTTTGACATAGAAGGTCAAAAGGGGAGAACGGCAATTATACGTTCTTAAACCAGTGTTCTTAAGACCAAAAAATCGGACAGGAAAGGGGAGAAAGCTCTCTGCTTATGATTCTTCAGTATCTAGAACCTCGATACCAAAAGAATTCTTAGAATAAAAATTCTCGAACATTCTCTTGGTATCCACTGCAAGTTACTCCACACGGTCTAAACATTGCATTGTGGTTTGCTTGGCTCTTTGATAAGCTAGTGATTCGACCAATGAGAGCCCTCAATCTCAAAGTGAAGCAAATTTAACAGTAGGATCAATCTATTACTTTATTATGGAAAAATTGAGTTCACGAAGTCAAACAGAAATGTGAAATTTAAAGGTATGAAATGTGCTTTTCAATAATAAAGGCCTCTTCCTCACATAAAGATAGTGTAAATCTGCTGCTAATTTAGTTACCATCCATAACATTCATTGTATTCTACACTTTAAATCATTGGTTGGGAAGTCTTCTTCGAGCTAGTTCCATGACATTAATGATCCAAAAAAATCTCCTTAATTTGCGGGGAAAAAAAAAAGAACCATAAAAGTAAAATACAATGCATTCCATAATCTCTCATAACAAGACATCATCATGAAACTAGTTCAATGACGAATGATATAGAACAAAATCATTTACCAGAGTTCCTCTTGGCGGGTTATAACTGAAATGGAAGGAGTTTAAACACGTTTTTACTTGCACAAGATGTTAAATCGTAAAATTTAATTATTGTCATTGTATAAAATTCGTACTTACACGTACGGAGATCGATCTTGTACTTTCATTAAGAATAGTTTAGAAATTTCACACGTTGTAATTTCGATTTTGCGTTAATTTATTTTTTATTTTTTTAATAAATATATCATCAGGATTTTGTATTATCATATGAGAGAGGAAGAGAAGGGTGTACTGACCTTCTTTTATAAATATTTTTTCATCATAATAAATTACTAAAGCAACAAAAAAGAACATAGTCTCATACTCAGACGGCATGTATAAATCTTGCATATTCTTATGTATCTATTTTCTTTTCACAATTTAATGTTTCCGATGGTATAAACTTAGAGTTTCTAATTTTTAATGTAAAATACAAATGAGAATATTCTCCTTAATCATCTCATATTTAAGAATCCACAAAGTTTCAAAGATTGCGCCTAGAAAGAATTAAGCTATTTGTATAATGTTGGTTGACAAATATTGGTAACAATGTTGGACATGGCAAAATCCGGACCAATGATTTAAAATATAAGAAAAGTTTTAAAATCGGCATGAGACTGCTGCCCCCATGCTAAATCCACCATTGTAGAGGTTTTGTAGAAGAATCTTGGTGTCAAATACTTACAAGAAGACCACGACACAAGCCAAAATTTCTACTGAATGCCCATTTTTCAAGTTTGGTTTCATGAAAATGAGCTAATTCTTGCTATTAATCAAAATGTCGTAGACAAGTATCCGTTTGAACATGTTATGTTAACATGCAAAAACATATTCTCTTGACATTTATAACATGCTTGAAGTACGTCAAATTTAAAAATAACCTCACACACAATAAGGAAAGTCCAAAATATTTGTCAATTATTAATTATAAATTTGAATTTATTAAAACTAACATGTGAGCTATACAATATAAAGGAGAGAGGGTTTTTTAGATCGCCTTTATTGAACTTATTGAGAATTAGAAACTTCAATTCTATAATATCAAGTGTAAATATGTAATGAAATCGTAATAAGAAAATAAAGATATAAAAGAAAAGACAAGATTAATAGAGATTTGTTTTAATGTCAGACTACGTCCTCGTCTATCGTTATAATAATTGACTAAAATAAAGAGGAGTTTGCAAGAAAAAATCGCCAACATATTTTCTCTAATATTTCTCAATTTTTTTATATGATGATATAAAACCCTAATGACGAAATTTTATTTATAAGAAAATATTAGGACAAAATTGAAATTACAAATGTGAAGGTACCAAACAGGGCTAGAATTCAATCTTTGTTGAGTTTGAGCTAACTCAAATATTGTATATAATACTTATAACATGTTTAGCATGCTGTATCTTCATTAAGCAATAGACAAAATTTCAACTTTATTTTTATATTTTATTTTTTAAATCATTAAGTCAATTATCGTCTACTTTAAAATATCAAACAATCAGTAGTTAAAAAAAGGTTAAATATATTAACTAGTTGGCACCCCCAACCACATAGAAACATTGAAACTTATCAACTTAAAGTTTAATTATTGTTTAGTGAATTAATCAACCAATTGGATGCCTACTACTGAACTAATGGTACTTATTCATAAGTGATAATAATTAGTGAAGTATTGGATTGGATGTAAACTTTGAGATACTCGGAGTCCATTTGTCAATACTTTTGTTTTTTCTTCTGCTTTTAGTTGAAGAGTTTTTTGAGATAGTTATTGCAAAATCAATTGCATGCAATTTAGCTTTTAATTATTCCTCCTCTCATTATAATTGTTTTGACATAAATTTATAGACTCAAATTGTAAGTTGGCCCTCCACGAAACACTTTCCAATAAGTCTATTTGCATTTGATGGGATATGATTACCAAAGAAGTAATGATAAATATAATGTCTATAGAGGCGGCTAAGGTATAAAATTTGACATGTTGGTTATGTTGGATGACAAATTTGAATGATGATTTATAATATTGTCACACAATTCCATAATTATATTCGGTTTGTCAATCCTATGATTAATGTATAGCTCAAGAAAAATTTTTGATAGAAGTATAAAATATTAGAATATGTAATAATTTCATGATTAACATTGCCAAAATTAGAGCTCATTCGGAGGGAGG